AGTGTAATTGGAACAGAGATAGACCAGTAACTGAATTCTTCGTTATCCGGATGTCTTCGATAATCATCTTAGCAGCCGTATGAAAATCTGGTGGTTTTTTTTTACTAATTGTAAAGTGCCCAATTTTTTTTAATCGTCTGAATAGATCACTCTACCAGACCAAAACCAGGGTGATCTCCGACCAAGCAAAAATATGATTAATGCCTTTCCATTTGCAACACTGATCTTTTGATTTATTTTTAGAACGAGAATATTGATCAGTCCTGATCGCTTAAGGAATACTTTGAGTAAAAATATAATTTTCCTAGATTTTTAGAATTTTGTTGTTCTCCAGTCGTTTTGGTAAGCATCGCAGACGGATATTTGGCGAAGCGGTCGATAGCTTCCAGGATTTATACTTGGTTACCTGCACCATCTGCACCCGACCCGTGTAATCTAACTGAAGTTCCTCGTTGGAAGCATTTATAAGAAGTAGTGACTTGTACATTTTAAATTGACTCATTGGTTTTAAATTCTTACAAAATTTTGTACATTCTCTGCAGTTTTTGCAGAGGTTGACAAAATCTCTGTGATTTCTCGGCCACCACAGATACTGGGCTGTGTCAACCATCGCCTCAAGTCCCGGGTGCGATTGGTGCAACCGCGATGGAACTGCTCGTTGAAGGCAACTCGGTATCGGGTTCCTGTCGTCTATGATTATGCAGCCATCAACCACCGCTGCCAAATCCCAAAAGATCCTAATGTAGGGGTCTATCCTGGCAAAGCCTTCGTAGTCCCTGTTCCTAATTGCTATTTTCATCAGTCTGAGAGTCGCATCTTCGTAAGTCAACTCACTGAGAATTTCGGCGTCAAGAATTCCTACTAGGTCCGGGAGAGATTTTTTGTCCTTGGCGACAATTCTTTGCCCAATTGAAATTCGGTTCACTCGTGTAGTTGGTCGCTTAATTTTGATCATCCTTTGTTTTCAGAATTTTGCTATTATTTTAGCATATTTGAGTTTTCGGCGGCCGCCTTCTTCTCGGTCGCCTTGCTTGTTGTCTGTGAGCTGGTCTTGAGCGACACAAAGGAATTCTGCTGAGATGAGCGAGTCCGTTCAGGAACCTCCGGAAACTTTCTTCACTGATAGGATCGTCTGTAGCATTCGACATATCTAAAAATGAAAGGTTGGGGTGCTTCGAAAGAAAGGTGGAGTGAAAAATAATCGACTATCTCTAATTTTGTGCCAGCAATATATGTAACTTTAAAGTCGAACGGTAAAAGTCTGTCTGCTCATCTCGTCAACCGAGATTGATAAGGTTTGTTGCCTCTATTTGACTGGAAGGCGGATATGATAGCTTTGTTGTCAATTAGTACCTATATCAAATCTATTCCCTAATAAATAGTTCCTGAAATGTTCGCATGACCAAACTTTTGCGAGTATTTCTAACTCATTGGTACTATATAATTTTTTCCTATTTATTCAGGAATTTCGAGGCGAATGATATTGGTACCTATTGGTACCCAGGAACCATCCGGTAACTCTTGTTCCAGAGCTGCGCCTAGGCCGCTATGGCTGTTGTCACATTTCACCCTGGAGTTCCTATTCTGGTCGTAATGGTACATTTTTGCTATGTTTGAGACTAGGAGAACTGTATCTTCAAATACCTTTTTTTCTCCGTTCTTCATATGAACTTTTGCTTATTGCTCGTTTTTAAAGAGCGTCTGAACTTTTTGGTCAAAGCGTGAAAATTTGTTAAAAAATTTTGTAGGTGACCAAGAACTCGCATAAAAGAACGTAATTGTTTTTAAAGTATGGGGAGGTTTAAGTTCTAAAACCCTGTTTTAAAACGATAAGTGCCTGTTGATTCTTCGCAGACGATACTAAACTGCAACGACTGTTGACTATATCACTGAGTAAAAGTTGGCTAAAAGCGGATTTTAAATCAAGAGATGTGAACCAAAATTCCCTCTGGTTATCCGTATTGATGATTTGGGCGGCAACGTCCAATTGTTCCAGAAGGTTGGGCGTTTGATATTGGTTTTTGAATATCTGAGCGTTCATTAATTTTCCGTCCATAGCTAATTTTATGGAGCCATCCTTCTTACCTGTTATAACTACAGGTGCTACAAAATAATCGCTGGTGCATTTATTCAACTTTACGATGTGTCCTTCTATGATGAGTTTCTTGATTTCCGAGCCCACTTTGTCTTGGATATGTATTGTTACTCTACGACCTTTCTCTTGGATGGGAACTAAGGAGTCCATAAGTACTGATTGTACTCGGTGGTTTTTTGATCTACCCTGTCTAGTGAAAATCTTTCTGAATTTGTTCATAAAATAGTTCCACCTTTTGGCTGAGTCGGTTGGTGAAGATGAAATTTCATTGATAGGAGTTGGTCTTGTTTGGGTGATTTGAAACCCCAAGGAACTTTGAAGATCCAGACCCAGTAAGTATCTGGTGCGATTTTCAGTTACCAGAAGTTTCGCAGAATTTATCTTCCAACCTAGAGAAGATACCTCTGCCTTTAGGATACCGAATAACTTGATTGTTTTTCTGTTGTACTCGACATAGTGGGTATTCATGGGCAATTTCGAAATTGAAAAGTAATTTGACTTTAGCACCCGATTTCATCAGAATATCTGCAGTTTTCTTGTTGATAAAAGATGCTGGACTACCTGTTTCTATGGTAGCCTTAAAAAATGTTTTGTCGACTCTTAACGTGAACTCTGTACATCTCGTTTTCCCCGTAGCGAATTTAATGACTTCTAGTTTTTTGACTGCATATTCAGGTTTATGGTCTTGGTTGGTTTTTACGACCGAAGGTTTTATGTTCAATACTGAGTATTCCGGTACACTAACCGAGGTGATAAAGTCGCATTCCGCTTCGGCTGTAATTTCAGAATCACCATCTACAGTCCTTACATTGCTCCTTGAATTACAGCATCTGGCAAAGTGGCCCTTTTTGTTGCATTTCTTGCATGTCACATTCTTTGCTGAACATGAAAGTTTATGGTTCGGGCAGAATTCCTTCCCGCAGAAGTAACATGCTTTGCTATCTCTTTGTTGAGTATTGTTAGGTCGGTTGTTGAATTTTCCTCTTGAGTTTTGAGCTCAGTTACCTCTAATCTGAATGTTGTTTTTTCGCTGAATTTTGTTCTAATAACTTTCCATTTGCAATACTGATCTACTAACTTATTTTTAAAACCAGAATATTGATCCGTCCTGATCGCTTTACGAATACTATGGGTAAATATATAATTTTCCAAGAATTTTAGAAATTTGTTGGCTCCAGTCGTTTTAGTAAGCATCGCAGACTGATATTTGGAGAAGAGGTCGATAGCTGCCAGGATGTAAACTTGGTTAGCTGCACCATCTGAAAGTGGAACCGCGTAAAGTTCTTCGTTGGGAGCATTTAAAAGAAGTAGTGACGTTTTAAAAAGACCGTGATTTGATTCTTTGATCCGCTTCGTGGAAGAATACGTTTGGACCAATTTTTGGTACCTTTTTCTTTCTTTCCTCGTTGATTTCATTTGTTTTGCGGATTTCAGCTTGATCTCCTGCGATACGGCTGGCTTCTTCGGTTTGGGTTTCTGATTCTCCTTTTCTTCCAGGTCGGGGAGGTGGGTCATTGAAATATTCAGCTGGTTCGCTCAGTAAGATATTGGCGTTGCAATGTTCTCATAAGTTTACGGCTCGAAAAAATTGTCCGATACATGACTCCCATGTGAATAAAGGTTCTGTTGTTGGTTTAGGCCAGAACGCTGGTACCCCTATAAGATCAGTTCGGTCCTTGCCGACCGAACCTGCTGGCTGCGCCATGTGGAATGTCAACCGATAGACTCTTACTTACAAAAACAATTGTAATAAGATGTGAATTGTTAGAATAAAGAACGTTGAAATATCTGTATCTTTCATCAGATAATGAATGAGTGATTTTTCATTCAACACAAAACATTAACACGGTCGGCAAGTACTGGCCTTGACATAATAACATCAGCACACTCAGACTAACATTATGATCTCTATCAATTCAATACACAATACTACTTTACACAATGGGAGGCAGCACACCCGCCGTACCACAACGACCAAAAGGGTCCTCTTTGGTTAATTTTTTAAGACACCTACTTTTGGCTGACCAGCCCTTAAATTTTTCTCAAGGCCAATATATACAAATTTCAAAGGGGGCCGCACTCCAAGAAAAACGCAATTTTTGGTCCAAACTTTCTAAAGAAAGCACAAAAACTCTTTTTTTGGCTTTTGCTAGCTTGCTAATAGGGATTTGGGAGAGCTCCGAAAACCAATTTGGTCGACTTAAAAAAAGTCGACAATTTTTGAAATTTTTTTGAAAATCCGCCCTCGCCTCTCGAGAAAATCCTTCATCCACTCTGGAAATCCCCCTCTCGAGAAAAATCTTATATCCATGCCTATCGGGGCCCACAAGTTTCTGAATCGGTAAGAAATTAGTGGAATTTAGGTAAAATAACTTTTTGACATTGTTTCCTCATTGTTTCATGTGCACAAAACTTTTGTTTACGGCGTCACAATGAGCAGTTTTCGATTTAAAAAAAACTCGTTCAGATTGGTTGACTGAAATACTGCGATCAGTTTGGACAAACTGTAAAACAAAACAAAAAAGCATTTGCTGTTAATCAAGAGCACGAGGGTTTCTCCATATTGAGCTGAATGTACGGTAAGTTGGTGTTTTATCTCGCGGATAATTTTTTAAAATACAACTCAGGTTTACTGGTAGAATAGTTAAGAAGTTCTCGAACTCGTTTTTATCGTGACTCAAACGAAAAGAGGCAACCAAGCTAGCTCTCAAGTCACATCGTTGATTTTCATTCGTAAAGCCATTCTTAATAAGAAGTTTTTATGTGTTTTACATAGTTAGAGCTAAAGTAGCATACGCAATTGGACATCTCAATCAAAGTTGGCCTTAGGGGCAAGATAAATAGGTATGTTTTTCCTCCTCTTGTATCAGTTGTTTTCATAAAAAACTTTTCGTGTGTCGCTTAGAGCGTGTTCGAAGTGTTCGATCGCAACCACGACGGATTCATCACCACTGAAGAGCTACGATATGCGTACTCTATGTTGGGAGAGCCCCTGAGTGAGGCCGACAGTCGGAAGATGATAGAAATAGCCGATATGGACAGGGATGGAATGGTATCCTACGACGACTTCTCCAACTTCTGCGCCAGTTTCTAAAGCAGCCAGCCAGTCAGGACACAGTTAAATTTTCTATTCTGTCCCCAACCCATTTTAATAGCAAAAATGATCAGATATTAAATTTAGGTAATAAAAGTAGATCATCAATTTAAAAAATCCGGCCACCGAAACCTCAAATCTAAAGTCTCGAACTGCCAAATTGTATATTTTTTGTCCTTATTTCGAGTAATTAGGGTTATGAAATAAGTTTTGATGCTATTGTCATCCAATTGGCGATAAATAAAATTTTGGATCTTACTACGCATTTTTTTCGAAGCCACGAAGAAGACCTCAAACGAAGGAGTGTAAAGGGACGTTTGGATATTCGAATGGTGGAACAAAATCAGTTGACGGTATAAACTTGGCATAGATGTTTCTCAGATGGTATAGCAGAGTTCAAAACTTTTCCCGTTTATGCATATATTAACAATGAGGAAACTATTTATTGTGATTTACCTTTTGAAATCAGCAGTGAAATGCTTTTGCGGTTTCAACCGTTTTTTGATCTAATTTATCACATTTTGATTAAATTGACTATGTTGCGTCATTGGCAGTTTAACAATGAAGCAGGCGAACTAACGAACATCTCAATCTCAAAGGTTCGTAAAAGGAGGTTTGGAGCTAGCCGAGCTTGATGAATTTCTTAATATTCTGATCAACCTCGAGTATTTTGAGAAAATTTGATCACTGAGTATGTTAAATTTTGGTACTGAATCTTGTATAGAAACTTTTTCAAGGCATACTTGAATCCCATGCAGAAGTGTCCGCAGGGGCGGATTTAGGGGGGGGGGGGACGCTTCCTTCCCCCTCAGGGATTCGACCCCCAGCCGACCCAAAGGGTCCCCCCTTTGATACTTTTTCAGAAATCCATTTTCGGCCGACCGACCTTAAAATTTTTCTAAAGACGCCTTCGGCGCCAATAGATAGTAACTTTGAGGGGGAGCGCGCGCCAAAAAAAACGCCATTTTTTTGTCAACATTTTTCAAATTTGCCCAAAAACGACTTTTTTGACTGTTTTTTCAAAAATTTGCCTGCGGAGCAGAAACTTTAGCCAAAATAGGGGCAAAACACTGCTTTGGGAGAGCTCGAAAAATCTATTTGGTCGACCTAAAAAGAAAAAGGTCGTCTAAATTTTGAAAATTTTTTAAATGAAAATCCGCCCCCCCCCCCCCCTCGAGAAAATCCTAGATCCGCCCCTGAGTGTCTGCACCAGCAAGCATGACCCCTTCTCAAGGATTCGACCCCCTACCTAACCAAAGCCCCCCCCCCCCATTGTACTATTTTGAGATACCAATTTTTGGCTGATGGACTGTAAAAGTTTTCTAAATATTTACCAATTTTGAGGGGGGGGGGGGAAGAAGTTTTTGGTCAAAAGTTTCCAAAAAGTGCCCAAAAACGTTTTTTACTTTTTTTTGAAAATTTGGCTGCGGCGTAAAACTGTTGGCCAAACTAAGGTCTATATAGTGAATTGGGAAAGCTCAGAAAATCACTTTGGTCGACCTGAAAAAAGGTTAAAAAATTATCGATATTTTTTTGAAAATATGCCCCCCTTCGAGAACACCCTAGATTTGTCCTTGTATGTACGTGCTTTTTTGCATTTCAGAGCTGTTTTGCCTTTTTAAATTTTTTGAAGAAAGTGAAGAAAATTGAAAAAAAAGGTAAAAAAAAAATTCAATTTTTTTTTGAAAATCCGCCCCCTTCGAGAAAATCCCAGATCCGTCCCGGTGAGTACGTGCTTTTTTGCATTTCAGAACTGTTTTGCCTTTTTAATTTTTTGAAGAAAGTGAAGAATATAAATGCGCAGAGTGTTTTTTCAGAAATAATCTTCTGATCGAAACAATGTTTAACATTAATTTTGAGCTTGAAGTGAAATTTAATTGTCAGCTAATATGCTAACTGTAAGACAATTTCCTAGAAATGTGGATGTTGGTAAATTTCATAATCAGAGAAATTGCTGGCTGGAAAATAGTATAAAGATATTCATACACGTACTGACAAAAATGGATTGCAATCTATTTTATACCGATAATGTAGCCTAGAGATAAAAAACGATTTAAACCAAGTTAGAATCGATTTGATTTGATACAAAAATGTATCTGAAAAAAATTTAATCCATTCTAAATCACTTAAACTTTTAATTTTGTCAAACTTATTGGTCTTATTTTCCTACATTTTTAAGGTCGAAAAAAAACGATTTAAATCGAATTTTAACATTTTTTTGTACACTCATTTTATTCAAATTATGTTCAAGTTTTCTAAACAAAAGAAAAATAGCGGAAATCAAAGGTGCATTGAAAATGATTTTGCCATGAAATTAATTTTGTACTATTTGAATTTTTCAATAATCTATACTGTTTGCTGAAAGAACTTGAGCCTAGAACGTTGATAGTGAAAGTGTCCCTTGAAAAAAAATTGCATTGTTTCACTTCTCATAGCCGCGAGAACCCTTAATTATTCTCAGTTTGAAAGGGAATCCCTTAAACGCAATAGTCTGCAGTAAAAAACTCTCCTAGAGAATTTATTTCTCTCTGCAGTTCTGATGAAGGCTTTCTCGAGCACACAAATTTGCTCAAAATTTGAAACAAAATAAATAGTTAAATTAAAAACAGTTTTGTTGGGACTTTTTAATGATTCTCGTTATCTTGCGAAAAATCATTTAAATCTATTTAATCCACGTAATTAAGTGGGCTATCGTAAATACATTTCCATACAGTATTGTATCTCTTCAAAAATTGATTTCAATGGATATCAATCTCAAGTTGATCACTGCGGGTAAAAATTGAGTGGCCTCAAAAGAACTGATTAAGGAATCTAATAATTTTTGAAGGTAACTTTGAATTTTTGTGAGCGTCAGCTGTAATTGATTTTTCAAAACTATCCTAGCTGGCGTATTTTATCCTGGTTACTTGGTATAAATTTACGAAAACTTCATTTTGAGGATAAACTGTGTATTTTGTGATTAGGAAGCAACAAGGAAGCTCTCTTTATTCTTCTTTTGTTTATTCGTTTCCTTTGATCGTTCCGACAAAACTTTAATATGTTTGAAGACTTGTCATCTTTGAATCCAGAGACCCATCTCCTCACATAAATTTTGCGCCTATCCAGTGCACAGTTTGGGCTCGTAATATTTGACAGAAAACTTAATATTTTCTTGTAGTTTCGAGGGAAACAATGATATAATTTTTAACAATGGTCTTTTTTTGAACTTTAAATTATGCAAGTAGAATGCCTGTAAAAAGAGAATATGTTGCCTATGAAGTATGTACTATTGTAATTAATTTATTTGTAAACTCAAGCATTTATTTGTAAACTCAAGCATTTATTTGCTTCCTGGTTATTTGATTTATTCAATTAACTTCCTTTTTTTAAGAAAAAAATTATTTTCTACAATCAGTTTAACCCTCAAGCGGCTAGCTTACTTCAACAAACATGCGTGAATTCAAAGACAAGAAACTGTTCCAGGCCCTGAAAAAGTCTAGTTTTTATCAATGAAGCAATTGACCTGTAATTTATTTTTCGACCCTTTTATAAATGGTATCATAAAAACAATAGTTTGCCAATTTGAATTTTTAACTCAAACAAGAATGTTAATGTCGAATCTAAATTGAATAAATTTCAATGACAAAGCGCTCACTACACTTAAAATTTAAAAAATGTTCGTTTGCTTCATGGCTCAGCATTAATTTACGTCCCCAAAAGAGACAAAACGAGCGCGAGCCTACCAATATTAGCTGCGAGGTCTTTTGGAGTCAACCACCTTCGTCGCCACTCTTATCTGATTGTTACTTGAAGCAACCGCTTGGTTTTCTTATTGAGGTTAGGGACATAATATTTAGGCAACCTTGACCAGATGCTAGTTGCATACGATTGAGCCCTGATGCAGCGTTTTCGTTGATCAAATTTTTTTTTCAATTACGAGAGAATAGGAGAAATTGAAACTTAACGCTATGATGGCCCAGTAAAAACTTATTAAGAGTGAATTCATTTAATTTATCCAGTTCACATAATTGATTTCAAAGGCTCGGGGTTAGAACAATGTTCCGCTAGACAATAGTGGTATCTTATAGCAAACCTAGAACAGCATAAAATATCTTTGCAGGACTATCTCACAAGACTGTTTCAGATACCACCTTGACATGTTGCGACAGGTTGACAAAAGGTACCTTTGTTTCATTTTTCGGTGAAAAAATTGGAGCTCGATTGGTCCAGTTAGCGATACATGACAGATTTTGTTCACCTCTATTTTTTTGTTCCAGTATGTGACCACGTTCAGATTATGTCCTTAGGCGTAAGACGAAACGCTCAGAAGTCTTAACATACTAAATACAACCCCTTGAACTTACAGTTTGATTATGGACAGCACGTGTCATAATGCAGACTAAAAAAAAACCCAGTTTCCCTTATTTCATTGAACAGTATAACAAACTCGGATCCACAGTTTGAAAGCCACAGTTGTTGAAGGGCGGCTGTCGATAACCTATTCTTTCCACGGGATAGTCTTCCATCATCGTAGCTGTTGTCACAACTTTCTGTTTTTTACTTGCTACGCATATGAATTCGTGAAAACGTAACAGTGGTTTCATATCACTGGACTACATATTATTGCTGAATGAAGGAACGAAGGTAATCAACAAACTGCTGATAATGTGTGGGTTGCATCATTCAAACTAAGAGTTTTACTAGTTGACGACTCCCCCCGTAAGAATTGTATCCTATAACTCCGAAAGTTGATGAGTTAATTATGGTTTTAAAAGTCCAGACGAGCTATGGAAGGGCGATAAGACGGTTATAGCTGTCGGTTTTGAAGCAAGTTTTTCTTTGCGCAAAAACTTGAACTTTGCGCTGAGCGACTCAGGTCAAGTGAGTAAAAAGAGTCTGTGTTCGACAATTTTTAAGCTACAACAAATCGGTGATTTTCCTTTTGGTATAAACATAATGAGCTTATTTTGCCGACAGTCTTAGTTTAATTTTATGAAACGCATTACCTTGTCAAATAACGGAAATTCTTTGAACTTTAAAGGGTTTCGACAATTTTGGTTTGAAAGGAATGATATTCGAGTCTAACCGAGTCTTTAAGAGCAATTGCATTGACAAGAAAAACTGTTGGCTTTAACGGCCGAAAAAGAGTATGTAGAAAGTGAGGTTTGTTGACATTGGTGGGATTTCAATTGCGGATTTCGACGCACCAATGATAAAATGATTTGACAGCCAAAGTTTTGTCTAACTATGTTTGCATAAAAAATTGGGGTTATTTCATTAAAATTCAACCGTTGAATCGACGTTGTAATATCAGTCTGAGTTATTCTGATGTCCTCGGTAAAGCGAACAGCTAGCAAAAGTGCCGATGTTTCCATAAATTGAATTTGATTGCCTTCAAAACTGTCATGGTCTTGTATGGAATGTGGCTCGGTCATCAGCGATTTTTTCAAAGGCAACTTTTGTGATATTCTCAAAAGCATCAA